CCCATTTACAGCATTGCACTTGTATAAAGTGCATGATGCAAGCAGCTAAAGCATGCACAAAAAAACTAGAAGACAATGATGTGAGAGACTTTTCTACAAAACAGAAATTCGCTTAACACAGATGCAATACTTTTAGTTGGAATATGTTCTGCAGTAATCATCCCGGACAACATTCGTGTAAAATAATTTGTTATTTTTAATCACAGCGAAAACAACACGAAAAACAATAAAAGAAAACATATTCCAGCAGTGACATGATGCTATTTTCTTTTTTCTTTTTTGTCCTTATGTTCTAAAATATATTCATCAAAAAGGACAGTCTCGTGTTATAATGAATAATTGGCCTCGCAGTAGACATTAGTCATACATCGTGTATTAATACATCGTGTCGATAAAATAAGGAGGCACGGGCTAGCAATATCAATCCGTGTCCCAAAAGGGAATACCTTCAAGCAAGCAAAGCTTCGCGCAATACATTCGAGGCCAGGATATGATTTATTAGGGACATCGTTAGTTTTTTAGCGTGTATAGGATTGTTTGTTAGATACAGAACTTACTTATGTTAGTAAGTAAGATTAGGGTTGGGGCCTAGGACAGGTCGTCGCCGCCCCGCGGATACGACAGTCATCGAGCCACGTATTGTCCCCCCATCATATCTACGGGCAACAACAAGTATCGTTTAGTTTGCGCAGAAAATAAAAGATATCATTAAAAAAGGGGGATTATGATTGTTCGCGGAATCACAAATGTACGTATTTCACAGCATAATTAACCTTTATCAGTACAGAGCAAATATATCATCTAGATGTCACCTATGATAATTACTTGATAATCACAGTTTTTAAGAAAAATATAACAGAGACACAAAAATATATTAAAAATATGTTCATTTAAGAGATTGTAAAAAAAGATGAAGAATTTCTTATTTTCTGCACAAATCAAAACCTTCCTAAACTCTCAATAGAACTGTCCGTCTTGAGTTTCTGTTTATATCTACCTTATGTTCAATTATTCAAAGATAGTCAATAACAGCTCAGAGATATCATTAGCCATGATCAAATGCATCTTTTCTCTTTTAAATCGTTCGCAAAAACGATTTCAAACGTTGGTAATTCCTGTAAGCTCTCAAGTAATCTATTGTAGCCTGAACAGAACATGTGAATGCAATTATAAATATTAACCTGCCTCTTAATTATTACATTTATAGAAAACTATTTATATAAATAGTGAATAATGAAAAAAAGTCATGACTTTTCTTTCTATAGCGGTACCCATTTGCTGAGAAGACCGATTCAGAGGAAACTATGGATTAAATGTATCATTAGGTGAAGTAATCAAATATAATATTAATAATGAATGATGAATGAAATCAAGCGACATAGAGCCATACTTTGATAGTAAGATCATATTTCTCGCTGCAATTAATCGTTTAAGGTACAGTTATTGTGACATAATGCAAACCTGACACGTTTTCAACTTCAGCTATAGTTATTTGAATTGTGATAACCGCGACACGGAATTACACGGCGTGGGCATGGATGAGACAATTCAACATTGAAAACCTGTCAGCTTCGAAGAAACTCAGATGTGAAGCACATAAATGCGTATTCGGTACTTCTCTCCTTTATGTTACACAGTGATTCGGCAAAATGAGATGACGGCTAAATGGTTAATCGGACTTACCATGATCCTGGCTCATCGACACCACTGCCGGACTCGTGCTCGCGCTATTGGCAGCAGCAACGTTCGTGTTGGTCCCCTCATCGGCTGTCCTCTTAAAGAAGTTGTGCTGAAGTGCGTAATACGGCGTTACCCGTGTCTTCGGATCGAAATCCAACATCCGTACAATTAGGTCCTTAAACTTGAGATAATCGGACATCGAATGGCCTGGTTCCCCCATTCTCCTGCCGCCGGGGCCACCGCTTTCGACACCTAAAATATCGTGTAAGCGCCTCGTGCCGGGAGGTTTGTATTTTTTACCGTCCTTGGATTTTTTCAGCACGTACGAGCCATCCGTGGAGACTTTGTCAAAGTACTTCCGCGCTTTGTGCGCTTGGTCCAGTATATGTTTCGGTGGCATTCCTAGTACTTCTACGATTTTGTTCATTTGATCGACCTGCAAATCATAAGAAATTCCTTATGTTGCAGAAATCTACATTATATCGAACGTAACATGTACCTTCCAATCAAATAAACTTTTTGCCATGTAAATGTATCTTAATACGGTAGCGTCTCGTACTAATAATTAATTATCGAGAGCTACAAATTCAACATGATTAAAAACAATTTGTATAATGGTCGGTCTTTACCTCATTGGCCCCACTAAATAGAGGTTCTCCCGTGTGCATTTCTACTAAAATACATCCCAGACTCCACATGTCTATCGCGAGGTCATAAGGTATTCCTAACAAGACTTCCGGAGATCTGTAGAACCTGGACTGGATATACTGATATATCTGCAAACGCAAAAAGAAAAGAAAAAAGACAAATGAAAAGGACCGACAGATCAAAAGAGAATGTGCGCTAATTAACTCTTTCTAAGATACCCACTCTTTGTCCAAGTTGACACGAGCTACCGAAGTCGACTATTTTTATCGCACTTCGTTTGGGATTGCACAAAAGGATGTTTTCAGGTTTCAGATCACAGTGAATGATGTTCAATTCCGGCGTAGACAGGAACAAGAGGGCAGTACACAGTTGCTGTGCAAACTTTCTTGTCAAGTTCAATGACACTCCTCGGAAATTCGTATTTCTAAGTAGGTCATATAGATTATACGATAGCAGTTCGAATACCAGACATAAGTGATTTCGCCACATAAAATGCCTCTTCAGTTTAACTGTAATCAAAAAGAGAAAAGGTGTTAGACGTCACGTCGCGCGATATCTCTTAATTATAGCACAGTTTATACTGGCGCACCTATATAATACTTGTTGTCGGTATCCGCTCTATTCATCATTTCCAATAGCCTAACTTCGATTTGTGCTTGATTAAGAAAAGGCTTCTTGTTCTTGATGATTTTTATTGCCACTTGCGTTTGCTCTTCGTGGTCAAATGCTTTCACTACTTGGCCAAAACTGCCTTTACCTGTAAACAGAAAACGTATAAATACATCGAATAAGTAAAATAAATTCAATTCGAATAAATAAAATCAATTTGAATAAATGTAATATTTTTAAACAACAGTTGTTAAAAATAACATATTATTGATTACGTATTTAAAAAATATATTCGAGAAATAAAAATTATCGATTATATCATCGGAAAATCATAGCGATATTATATTTGTTCGATAAATACAATTAACTCGATATTGCTTGTCTTCTTTCGTCTTACCTATTAAAGAATCGATCTCGTATCGATCGAGGAACTTTTCCCCATTCTTGATGATATAATCGTGATTATCGTCATCCCAACCATCGTTGTAGAGTTTCCTCTCCTTCTTATGCGAACCATCTTCCCCTTGCATCTGTTGTGCTCTTCTCTTCTTCTTCGCATAGTAAACCTGGAAAAGAAATTAACGAAATTAGTCACTATGTCCTCGATATATAACTGAAAGTTTGACAGAATTCTATGCTCCATATGAGCAACAGAAACATTCAAGAAAATTATCGAAAAATAAATAACTACCGAAACGTAACGATTTATCATATCATAATTATTTCTAATGCTAAACTTTTTATCACCGATCTCTTCTTCCTCCTGTTTTCGAAAATGTGAGAGTGAATTATAAAAATTTCGCATTTATTCAAATATAATGTTTTTTTATTTATTTAGTATTCATTAGGATTATTTTACATTATCGTATCGAATTCTAAAACGGAGCTCTTCGTCAAGTCATGACTTATGTAATCGATCGTATTCATCGGGGAAAGGTAACTTGGACAATCAACCAATTGATCCAAAAGTTCGTGCGACCCGCTTATCTTTATCAATTCACCAGACCTAGCAAACGGGGTTACATAACGAGTCACGCGGCCAGAGGTTATTATTCGCGCATGTAGGCTGCAGGTCCATGACGTTCCGCGAGATGAAGAGGAGAGGAAGAGAGAGAGAGAGAGAGAGAGAGAGAGAGAGAGAGAAACTAGCCCGATCGATCGCTTAAATTTTTCCACGATGTATAAATTGCTGAAGAAAACATAAAAACCCGCGTTTGCCACTCTCTTCTTCTCTTCTTCCCCGCTCCTTCGATCAAACCGGTGCCGCGAATCGTAAAAAAAAGCTGAATCGTATAATTCGCCGTAAATATCTTCGCGTCTACGGGACGACAGGAAGGAGGTGGAAGAACGGCGCGCGACGCAAGAGGGTGAAAGGGACGCGGAAGGGCGAGGGAGGAGAAGCAAAAGGGAAAAGGGCGCAGAATCCGATCTGCCGCCTCCGTCCCGGGAATCGATATGCTCGCGACCACGTGAAAACCACGCCGTTGAAAAGCGATGGTCGATCGCTTTCGTGTAAAATTCGACTTGACGTCACGCGTGAGGACGATCGACGATCGACAATGATGATGCATCCCCCGTGAGGATCTCTGATCTTCCATGAAAATTTCGCAAAAAAGCAAAGGCGAAAAACGCGAAAAGAAGAACGAAGGCAAGGGAGAAAGATAGGCGAGAAGGCCCCCGCGGATCGGGCAGGATGGTGGTTGGCACGCCTCCACCGGGTCATCGACACGGTGATGGTCAGCGCTGTATCGGCGTCTACTAGTTACAACACTCTATTTCGGCATCGATTGTACCGTCGAAGAAGTACGAGGAGCACTCGGTTCTACCACTGCCGTCCCTGCAACGGCGGCGGCGCGGCTAATGAACTCATGCCGACACTTTTGCGTGAACGGAGAGGAGGAAGAGGGAGGAACCGAATCTGAGCCGCGGTCCCGGAAGCGTGGAATCACTGATGATGCAACGACAGACGGCTTATTTTTGACTTCGACTAGTCAAGCCTGTCAAAGCTTGAGTTACAAAAGCAATCGGACAGGTACCGTCGGTTTGATCCGTCACTATGAAAACCGTGGAAAAATACATAGAAAGAAACACTTTACTCCGAACGTCTTGCATTGCGGTAGGAAATTTTCTTGACGCCTTGTATTTGGGTATGGTATTCAATTCGATTGTTTGTATACGGAAAGAACGAGTTTGCTCTAAAATATTTGAAAATTTAAATCAATTCTGAAAAGAATTTCGTTAGAACATCAATATAATTAGAAAACTCAACCATAATGAGCAATGCAGAAACATTCCAGCAATTAATTTGAGCGTCCTACATAAAATAATTACATTTTAATCAACAAAATTGTTTTCAGATCTGTATTTACACACACAAAAAATTATTCTATTGTTAAGAAAAGTGATTACTCACTTTATTTTCTTTTTTTTTTTTTCAGTAAAGCAATGATTATCCTCAACTTACTACAAATTTTAGAAAAATTCATTATTATTATATATTCAAAATAAGAATTTATTTTCTTTTAAAAAATATTATAAAATTGATTGAAGAAATCACTTTATGTAAGAAACAAATTAAATTTTTGTTTTAATTTAATAATTTTGATTAAAATATTAAACTTACTAGGATTCAGTATATTCAATATATTTTAAATAAATGTGATGCTTGTGACAAACTTAAGATATAGGATTGCGGATACATTTTTGAAATACTTGAAACAAGTAATTATTACTTGCGTATAGTAAAGTTGTTTTGTGTAACTAAATTTTTAGATACTTCAGCAAATCGTTTATTCAATGTAATTTTCATAACAAATAACATATTATAAAGAATTTTTTTCAATTGAAATGCTAAATACAGAAAGAACAGACCAAGTATGTATATATTTATTAATAAAAAATTATAAATAATGGAAAAAACAGCATTGGAAAAAACCTGGCATGCTAGAGTAACACCGATAAACAACGAAAACTATATACACACACAATTCTCATTTAAGATTTGTGAAAACTTTGCAAAAGATTAGTCGGGGTTTCGCCGATGGGACTCCAGTAAATCGCTAGCATTCGTATTAAATACTGTCGAAAGTTATTTCTTTGCAAGTTTCAAAAATATTGGCTACATATTCTCTTGTTATAGGAAGAATTTAACGGTTCTAAACATCGTACGTGTCTCGTGATTTATGCTAGTTTCCCCCGGAAAACGTAACTGATTATATCACTTTCACGGTTTTTGAATAACGCCTACTATTTTTACAGTTAGTTCCACAAATACAGCTGTTTACAATATCATTTTTGAACAAATATTTTTCACTGTTTTAATTTATAGCAGTTTCTATTATCTCTCTCACCCATCTTCTTTTTCATCCCTCCCCCCCCTCTCTCTCTTTCTCTCTCTCTGGCGAATGAAGATGAATGGTAGTCTCTCATGATTTTCAAATAATGTCTTTTCGTATTTCCATGACTTGAAATACTTAAAACCGCTTCCGAACACAAATGGCATTTCTTCTTTTTAATTTATAGCAGCTCTTTCCGCGGGGGAGAAGAATAAAATCGGAAACCCTCGCGAAATCAGACACAAAGCTGTCCCTCTCTGCGTTCCGCCACCCCCGCAGGAAAGCTCCACTCGCGCGAACGAAACTTCCGTGTTCTTATAAAGGCATCCCGTTGTAACTCGACGCAGTTAAAACTTCAGCTGGGTGCAAGCGCGGATCTTCGTCTCTGCAGAGGAGCGCTACCGGAATACCGACCTTATTTTACGCCGGTATATAGGTTACTCGGAAATTTAATTCGCCCTTCTATGTCACAGCATGGTATTTTCTGATCGATTTTTTTTTCATATATCGGAAAAAATAATTTCAGCTTCATCCCAGGAGCGGCGACGGCGAGATCACATGAGCGAACCGGTCGATTTCGCGTTATTTCGGTCAGTACTCTACATGAAAGCAATTTTTATTGATTCATTTTTTATAATTTATTTATTATTAATTTAATTCATATATAGAAAGGGGAAAGAAAATCTGTCACGCATAAGACATTACTGCCACATCGTTGTTTTAAAATTTTCTTATTTTTAAAAAATCGTTAAATACATTTATATTAAATACATTTTATATTAATACATTTTATATTAATAAAATTATTATTAATGAAAAATGGAGAGAAATGTTTATCATGAATAAAGAGAGCCATTTTCGGTCAGGCCATTAGTGCCTAATAATATATTGTGTAAAATTTTTACAATTTTCAATTCGAAACTGTGTGATGATTTTATTGACTGAAGCTAAAGTACGAAATACTACAAATTAAATTGATATAAGTAATTTATATATTATTATTGATATTAATAAGCATCTTTAAAATACTATAAATAATTTATTGCGAAAAATATCACCTTAAGGATCTCTCGAATTCCGTGCGAGCGTCTTACCAATTCCACTATTATTGTGATTAATTACAATAACTAATATATGTACAAAAAACATCTTTTTCAGGTGTAAATAAAATTGTAAGTGAAAAATAAATCGACAAATAAATAATCGGCGCACAGTTTGTTTGAATTAAAAATTCACACAATATATTATTAGACACTAAACTCACCTTGATTGAATATGCCATCCTTTGCCATTTTTGTTGAAATTGAATTTTTGTTGTATTCTGTATAATTTAATACAAAGTTTAGTTTCTATTATTATTGTTATTTATTACCTGAATATATTCCTTCATATTATCCACAATTTTCGATATATACTGAGGTATAGTAGTAGAGAGTAATACTAAATTGTAGAAATAGGTAGATTAACCGAATCTACGTTAGAAAATACTGGAGACACGCGCACTTAAACGTGTTTGAACACACAGCAAAGACTGTCGCTCCGTGATATCTCGATGCGGACGCTTCTCTTTAAAAAGTTGTAACACATTTTCGAAAAATCATATAAGTAAATATTTTTATTCTTGAACTTTTTATTTTAGAAAAATATGTAGTTGTCTGAGGTATTTAATTTCTGTCAGATAATAAGTATAGGTTTTACTTAATAAAATTCAAGTTTGTTTTTGTTCATCTGTTTTTGTATTCGTATTACAAATTATATGCTTTTAAAAAATAAATAGATGGGGCTATTAGGCTAATCTTACCAAAGGATTATGACTCATTTAGTGACGAGTCTTATAGTATTCTTCTTTATTTTAAATGGACGTAATGCAACGATTTGTGTTGTTTTAAATAACACTTAATGAAACCATTTTTTTTTTAATTTTAATTAATTTAAATAATAATAAATATATAATAATAATTAAATATTAACACACGTTCTTATCAGATTTTGACATATTTTTTATTTTATTAAAGATATTTTTGTTTAAGATATATCTTCATAGTTTTTCTTGTTTGAAAAATCTTTCTCTTCTTTTTGTTTACTCTTATTCTAGAAGCGAATTACAATACTTATTTAACATATTGATCGCTGAGTATAAATCGAATATACTTCTTGCGGACTACGAATCCCTTCTGACTTGATCTCGGCTTACTTCTTAGGCATTCTGTTGTTTTTATTCTTTTAGA